TAAATTAGGGACGGCTAACGCAGATAGCCCTCGTGTAGCTTTGCGCGAAATTCAAAACAAACAAGTTAAATTTCTGATTTAACTCACTCAGATATCTTTAACTATATATATACGGAAACTGAACGTTATTCAACTTTACTTCGACATTTTGTTTGTTTTAGCGGAAAGCTACATAATAAACTAGCTACGCTCTGTCCACCACGTGGAATCGAACCCCGAATTTTAACGTTGTAAGCTTCGAGATTATAATCCGTAGACAAAAATAAATGCAGCTAGTATTTTGTACTTCCGTGTGACCGGAAGTGCTTTTTACGTTTTTTTTACCGATTTAAAACCTCACCACGAGTGACCGAAAGTGCTTATTTTTCGTACATTTGGGATGACCACAGTGACCAACGCTTACTTCATTTGATGTTTAATCACGATCCTACCGAAGAAGCCCAGGAAGGTAATCACGTTTATCTTCAACCAATTTTGTTGACAGTTGTAAAGTTGTATAACAGGCTACCTATGTTGTGCAGGGATCGAACCAAAATTTTAGCAAGAATATAAATGATTCGAGGAATTTAAATTCCCAAAACGTCAATATCGATGCGATATTGCTTAAATGCTCAAATATGTGAAACGTACCATTGCCGCAAAAACTGTGCCCCGTATTTTGGTGCCGTGGGTGTGTTAAAAAATGACAGTTATACTCAAACCCCGCTTTTTGGGCTAACTGTTTTTTTTTCACTAATTTTTCAGTTTAAAACTATCGATGGCTATGAGTAAATATGGGCGAAAACTCTCAAATAAATAATTAAAGCAAACCTTGACTTATCCATTGTAACTTAATTCAGATAATTTTTTGGATGAAACGAAAACATACTTACAACGCTGAACTACAAGTAAACATTTGTAAAAAAAAAAAAAAATACACGTACGTTTAGAAATGTGCTGATAATAACAGTAAATTGGAAAGAAACAAAACCAAATGTGGTTATATAAATATTCCGCCAGTGCCTTACGGGTCAAAGAAAATATAAACAAGGTAAAATATAAGAAAGACAAAAAAAAAATCCATGTGTGAACAATTCTACTTGTTTCGGAATTGATGTAACATAAATATCCTTACTTCAAGTATCGTAAGCAGATTCATGACTTACCCAGGATGCAGCAGACAGGTGCTTCAAAACATAATTATGAGATGTTAAAATGTTTGCATTATTTGGTTTCTTCTGATTAGATTGACTTTATCGTGCTTAATTATTTGATATCATTTAAGTGTAAAATGTTGTGTAGTTACTGCAAAAATAAAAAATAAATTTGTTTGTTTTACTGTCTTTTTTGTTCTCTGAGTTTGAGAGTATTGAATAGAAATAAACAAAATAGTTCTATTTTATTTAATAGGTAATGTCATATTTTTATACCTTACTTTTAACCCTTCTAACAAATCACTTAGTCCGACAAACTTGGCTCAAATATGCTTCAAAAATCAATAAACAGCAAAAAAGAAAAAGAAAAAAGCATACTGGAAAGCTTGGTGATGTTTGTGTTTAAGCGAACATTTGTTTTGTTGAATGAGAATGTATTATAATAACACCGGATGCAAACAAAAGGAAGATGTAAATATACTTTAGTAGACATTTTGTACAACAACATATTATAAGCTTATCAAAAGTTTTAGAAAGGTCTAACGTTAAGTCGTAGAATAACATTACAAGTTTATTTATTGATAGTGCGCATACGGCAAAGTTTGGCCTTAACAAAACTAAAGCATAAAACATTCACAAGTTTACAGTGTTAATTTAGCTCTTTATGAAATATATGCTGTACTTAATAAAGGCTTAACTATTGTTAGGCCTAAGAAAAGTAGACTTGCAGATTTCGGTGTCTACGATTGGAATTCTTTTGTATTATTTTAGAAATCCTGTATTTAATAAATTACTGTTGCAATAAAGACACTAAAGACGCTAGTACACATTATCAAAAGTTAGCCAATTCACACTTTTTTGCACAATTACTGAACAAATATAATACTTAATGTTATTCAAACCCTGAAATATTACCGGGTTAGTCAACAAAAGCAACCATTATTAATATTCAAAACGTACAATATTAAATAACTGTTGGAGAACAATGCAGCGGTTATTGTTCATCACAACATGTAAATACATTTTCATTCGATTAAACAAGGTTTAACTGAAATCAAAAATTAAAATGATTTAGTCTTACTCAGTACACATGTAATTGTATACTTATTCAAAATATATAATAGCGTCTAAATATTTTACTAAAATTGAACGCGCGCTTTCCTATTTTTTGTATAATTTTAGGACACTAATTCCGTTTTTATTCACACACACCACGTCTTGGCAAAGGTCTCTTAGTAACATCATCACGTGATACATTATATTAAACCCGAGCCTGAGTGTTAATAAAAACTATTTCTTTCAATCTCCTTCCAGTTGGTTTGTCTGAAAACGATTTGTTAAATATGAGGCCTGGATTCTTTTGTTATCAGTCTAGAACAGCTTGATAAACAAAACTGAAACTGAGAAACAGAAATGTGATGTAAGATATATATATGTATAAGTAGTTTTATTTCTCAACATTCCATATCAAATGACCACATGCTGGTCAGTAATAAAATGTCCAGTGTCTCAACATGTAGATGATACTTACATATATTAGTATCACCATCACACAGTGAAAGTTTGGTAATAATGTTGGAGATAGTCGTCACTTCGTTACTGTTTTATGCGTTGTAAAGGGATCTGAGGCGCTATACGAATACAAGACAGGTGGCGACATCTTAACATGGCTGCCTCACAAACAATCGACGTTTCTTGCATAAAATATGATACGTCAAGAAACCATTTCAAAGTAGCATACAGTCTGAGAAACAAGCCTTTAGACCAAGTTTGGTACAAACAAAAAGAAGAATACGCAGAAAATACTCATTGATGGAACAATGAAATATTTGTGCTAGATACTGATGTATCAACGGTTAATTAAGTGTTAAAGATTTAAGAAAAAGATGCAGGAGGGGTGATATAAATAACTTTAATTACGCATCCATCGCTAAGAGGGGAAAACAAGGAGTGTTGAACCACCAAATAAGATGTTATTATTAGAAAACGTGTAACTTGAGAATCACCATATTAAAGTTAAGACAAAAATAAAGACTGTTTATACAATGGACCAATATCCTTTAGGCAAACGAATTTATTCGTAAGCAAATTAAGTTTCAATTATGACAGATCGCACTTTTTATAAAGACACATACAGCGGTATGTCTGCGGACTTACAACGCTAGAAACCTGGTTTCGATACCCGTTGCGGGCAGAGCACAGATAACTCATTGTGCAGCTTTGTGCTTAACTACAAACAACAACAACAATCATAATTCTTACATTTTACGTGAATCCTGGCGGTGGGCCAAAATCTGGATGACGTCATACTCTCCTCCGGTGACGGGTCTTTTTCTCTTGTCCTAAAAAAAGAGCAAAAATGGTTAAAAAATTTAACTCTTTTTGAAGCGCTGATGTTTTACCATTGGATAATTTGGTAAAAAATCAACGCTTCAAAAAGAGTTCAATTTCAATATTCTCACAACGCACGCCTGTGTGGAGTGTGTATAAGACATTCTAATTATTTATGACTCTGTATGACTCCCACTATCTCAGTGGTAAACCTGGGGGCTTGTCACTTAAACGTCGGGTTCGATGCCCGCGACGGGCATAACACAGATAGCCTATTGTGTAGCTTTGCGCTTAACAACAAACAACCAAACAAAAAAGCGACCGTATTTATATCGTAACTAAAGTATTCTCTTGTTGCATGGAAAATATTTAGTATACCTTTAGAAAAACCACGAGGAAATTGTTTTGATAAAAAATATGATATGTTACAACGTACAAAATACGATCGTACACAAGCCCCCTGGATGACTCAGCGGTAAGTCTGAGGGCTTATAACACTAAAATATGGTTTCGATATCCGCGGTGGGCAGAACACAGATAATTAATTGTATAAGTTTGTACTTATCAACAAACAAACTAACTAACAAAATACGACCGTACATTATACAACCTATTCTAATATCTTACGAACGTATAGCGTACAAAGTGATTTTGAGGCATTATTACAGATTTTTAGTATTGTTGACTATGTACGAACTAACATTATTACAGATTTTTAGTTCTGTTGGACTAAAAATCTGTAATAATGTTAGTTCGTACATAGAATTGTTGACTATGTACGAACTAACATTATTACAGATTTTTAGTATTGTTGACTATGTACGAACTAACATTATTACAGATTTTTAGTATTGTTGACTATGTACGAACTAACATTATTACAGATTTTTAGTATTGTTGATTATGTACGAACTAACATTATTACAGATTTTTAGTATTGTTGACTATGTACGA